CTTATTCTGTTTTGGAAATTTATCCACAAAGATAAAAGCAGCCACGTGTCAGGGTAGAAGTGTGACGGTGTTTATTGCAGGAGTGTTGTTATAAGGAACACTGGAGACCGAAGAACTTAAATTCCATATTGAGGAATAATATGCAGCAACTAAGCATGACGAATTAGAGATATGTGTACCTATGACATAGTAAATCTTAAAAACAACACCAGTGTAACAAATATGTAATGCTATTCCTGTGCAAAGTAAAAGCAACATCTCTCTCTCTCTCTGTGTGTGTGTGTGTGTGTTTACATGGATCTGGGGAGAAAGCTTTGAGAAAGAATTAATTTGTTTTTTAATAATCTGCTTATCATTTTCATGGAGAGGGGAGTTGGGATAGGGCAAAAGTGGGAGAGAAAATGTATAACGTCACCTGGGTACCATACATCCATTCTGTAATGTCATTGCAATCTCAATGATAGTAAGTGAACAAACCAACCGTCCTTGATTCAGAAGCTCCCGTTCAAGACTTTCTACTCCTGTTCAAGTCTTTCTTCTGCCTTTGGCTTTTTCTGAAATGGAGCTGACAAAATGCTCCCAAAGGAAAGCTAGGGGAGGTGCTGTTTCTGGTGAGTACATGGAGGGCAGAACGGGCTGCAGTGCTTAGGAGGAGAGCTGAGGCTGTATCTCAAAGCATTGGGGAGAAATGAGCTGCAGAGGCGTAGCAACTCTGAGGGAGGGGGTGTCTCCCAGAGGCCCTCGGGTCCCACTTAGCCTGGCAGCGTTTCTTGGGGAATATTGATCAAAAGTGCTCACCTCTATCATCTGAGGAGCATAATGCAGTCTGTGAGTATTCATGGAAAAAAGCTTTTCTTGGCCAGGCTATTTTCTGAAGTCAAAAAGATCCTTTCAGGATCTGTAATAGCCGTCCCTCCACACTTCACACCCTCAGTGAAAAGCACACTCCAATTTTCAGACCCTGGGACCCCACGCCAAGGAGGAGGCTGATGAGCGGGACCTATTCATGTAAAATAGTCTGTCAAACTCAATGAGCATTTTGCCAGAGGGAGAGGGAGGGATACATAAATGTTAGATTAGAAATTCCACCTGGACACACAGGAAAAGGCACTCTTGTTCCTGAGATCATTTAATGCATCTGTTCTTCCTTTCTTAAAGGTCTTAAATGGAATTTTCAATCACATACATAATGTAGTCTGATATGGAAGGTAGTGTATCAGTGTGATAGTAAACCTGTGTTTTTCATGTCTGACATGGTATGGAAGACGCCGACAAGGACTTTCTGGTTTCTCTGACTTTGGTTATGTCAGGAGTAGAATCTTCAACATTATTTTTAAATTTTCCTATTTATCTACATATACACACTCCAACCTTCTCTTTCTCTAGTGTTAGGGATCAAACCTGGGACCTCGTGCATGCTTGGTAAGTGTTTATTCACACATAAAACACAGCAGCTTAAATCCACACCTCATCTCATATTATCCAACTTAATTTAGGCTCGCAGAGATATAGGTATTAAAAATATTTTTCTTGTAAAATTCTAACAACCAAAAAAAAAAGCATGATGCAATTTCACCAAGTTCTTTTCAGTCACCCTTAGTAGGGATGTCATGGATGTCATTTCCCAGGGTTTTCAGCTGTGGTGCTGCTGGCCAGTTGCTGAGGAGCACATGTGCAAGTACCTTTGGCAGGGGAGCATGCCATAGACACACCTCTGCCTTCCCTGGTTGGGCCACTAGCTACACTGGAGAAGCTACAGCAGACAGTGTGTGGAAAACCTGACCCTTGGCTTTGGAAGCAAGCCATTTGCTGGTGGTCTCTGTGGTGTTCAAGCGACTTGGTGTCTTTACCATCTTTTCCTGGAATACTTACCTGTGAACGCTCTTAGGAGGCAATTACAACTTGGATCAAATGGTACCAAGCGCTAAATATCAATGGCTCTTTGACTCTAGAAGGTAGGAAAGACCTTCCAGGGAGTGGTCAACCCGCCTGGGCATTGCGAAGCCTGCCTTGGTGCTAGATCTATCTTTTCAAAGTCTTTTTTTCCCCCCCAGTTAAGACCCATGCAATCTGCCTTTCCAGGAATCTGCTATCTGGTGGTTTTTGAATTCCCAGTAGGGGTTGGTTCCAAGCACTCTTTTTGTGGATGATAAGGAGAGGTCAGATTTCTGGCAAACCAGACATTACAGTGCCAACACCTTGCTGTGCTCAGTCTAGTTCTTATGACAATAGACTCAGGGTGGCCTCTGATGTGGTCTTAGAAGCATCCTCACAGTGGCTACATTACAATGGGCACAAGAAAATTACATTGTATAAGAAACAATCCATGTACTGGTTAAGAACAGTTATTGGTGCTAAATGGAGGTGTAACTACACATGGAGACCTGGGAGACTCAGCTCCCGGCTAGAGCCCCAGTCTAGCTGCCTGACAGCCAGGGAGGTAACACCTTCAGGCCTCAGTTTTTACAGTAGAAGTAGATGGAAGACAGAGTTGGTGTTCCCAGCTGTAGGCCAGGGTGTTAAGGAACCACATATGCAGAGAGGTATTCTTTGTGATATTTTCCCACAACTTCCATGGGCTTTTTTTTTTTTGAAAATGAAATGCAATTAAAACCATATCCATTCGTAGAGTGCAAATGAGAATAGTGTTCCTTGGTATAAACATTTCCATCAAGTGACCTTGGCTTAAATGACACACACAAAGCTATACCAGGGGTTTAGAAGTGAACACTGTAAATGCGGTGTCTTCTCATTAGGAGATACTCGGTTGGAGGAGACAGGCATTTCCCCTGGAATACTAAACCAACAAAACCTCCCACACCAAAACCCGACAATTGCATCCTTTTAGTAATGGTCCTTTTCAGTGGAAGATGGATTCTTTTTGATATGGTCTGAGGGTATTGATGAGGGTTTATGAAGACAAGCCAACCTCTCACAGGAAACATGGTACCGAGAATCAACCCCTTCCCACCTTTCTGCTACAAATATGAGAACTTTCTTTATGAGACAGTAGTGACAGCAGCCTTTGCATTTTGAGTGCTCATTTCCATATCTGCAAAGTAGCCCAATATGACCCCAGCGGAAAGCTCCCTGTGAATCCTAGAAGGCCATCTGCCGAGCTGAACAGTTAGCAAGAGGGAAGGACTCGGCTCCAAGGAGCAGCTGTAGAGCAGTGGGCCACCCAGCTCAACAAACACATGGGGCTGCCTAGAATACCATCAGCAGGGCTCCTCTAGCTCCCTAGTCAATTTCTGGGCATCCATCACCTTCTGGGTAGCTATAAGGGAGGCAGATGCTTTAGTTCTACCCTGGGAGAAAATGAGGCAGGAATCTGAATGCTCCTCAGAAATGCCCAAATGAAGCAGGAGGCTGTGAAGTAGTGCTTCTGGCTCACAAAGCTTGAGTTGTGTCTAGAAGGAACTGCATATATACGCTCTTGATTATCAGTTAAAAGCTAAAATGAAGCCAGGTCAATTGAGGCTCCACTTTGTACTCGACTCCCTAGACCCTTTCTCAGGACACCAACATGTTCTGCAAGTAATGGGTGCTCAGCAAGCATTTGGTAAAGGAACAAGTGAATGATTTGTTACAAACTTGGTTGTTCAGCATTCTGAGAATTCGCTGTTGTCTGGAACACGGACTGGCACACTGTGGTCTCGGAGACCACAGACAAGGTTGTAATGGGATTGCTGGAGTCCTGAGGCAGGAAATATCAGTACCTGGCTGCAGCCACACTAGGAGGTCAAAAATCACATACTGCCTGTCACCTAATACCAAAGTTCTCAAATAGACCTTGCTCCTTAAGGACAGGAACTTTAGCTAGAATGGGGGGGGGGGAGTCTGCCTAGGAAAGACAAAGCAGGGGGCAAAGGTCACAATGAGGCTTAAGATCAGTTGTAAAAATAGACTGGATTGGCCTAGCCATGCCATTATGAAGACAGGGATGGGTTTAATTTGATGAGATGATGGATGGAGGACACGGATGGTGTTCCCAGCTGTAGACCAGAGGCTCGAGGAACCACATACGCAGAAGTGTACTCGGTGACACCAGAGGCTGCAGGTGTGAATACCAGCATTCCATACTATGAACCACGACGGAGATCCTGCATGAGTATGTAGAAGCCTTCTGAGTGGTATCAGCTACCGTACTGAACACCTGTTGGCTTTGGGTTTATAAAACGCTTTTGAATAACTTTGTTCAATAAAAAACGCAAACCAACTTTGTATAGATGCTGGGATAAGCTTTTATTTTCCTACAAACTATGAGAATGTCAGAAACATGCAGCACCTAGATGCTGTACTTCTAGTTCATCAAATCATCCCAGGAAATGAGAACGGAAAGGAGTGGACTGGAGTTGAGTGGCACCATTAAGGAGCTAAGTGTTTTCCCAGCATGGCTGCCTTTGTGGAGTGTGTCCTAGTGCACATGTACACTCCTACCAAGGTGGGGCGGACCTGGAGGTCTCCCCATCTCAGAACAACCTAGATGTGCAACATTGGGAAGTTAAATAACAAGAGACCTCAAAACAATCAAACAACATGCTATAACTTAATTTATCATCTCTATCAATTGTCCCCCTATTTACACATACTACACATTGTAGACCTGGAACTAAGAACATGTTTGCTTACTGTGTATGTCATATACATAGAAATTGCGTGCAGATACAAGCACAAGTTTCCTTTAGACATGACACCCCTTCAGTAGGTACGGAGTAACACAGCTACAGGTAAGACACACTGGAAGGTTTAGAGGGTCCTTCAAACCTCTACCACAGGTTAGTGGCAAGAAGGAAGTGACACCTGAGGACAGTCAGGAAGACAGGATTTGCATGGCTCACTGGAGCTATATGATCTCCTTTATAAGGCTAAGGGTCCTACGAACTAGCCACATCACCAAGTCAGGGTCCCTTCCCCGGGGCTCTCAAGAGTTGAAAACTTGGCTGTTGAAGACACTGTAAAAGTCACTTACCAGGCTAAATTTCCTTTTTTCCTGTCTGCTGAAGGTCTGGATATTTTTAAAAAGTCATAATTTTGTAGGATTACTATTTTTTAAAAGCATAAAAGTCTAATCAACAAGACTATAAACATCAGTTTCCCTCTTTAAGAAAATCCGGCAATCAGCATGCCAAGAAGTAAGGGCACTGGCCAGACCCTGCAGGAACCCAGAGAGTCTTATAACACTTTGGAGTAATTAGGGCCACTTTGATTACAGATGGTTGACCTACTAATACTAATGTGACGAGTGGCTCTCTGGAGGGTCACTACCAGATGAGTGACCCTTAGCAATTTTGCTAAAACACATTTATTATGAAAACACAATATTTGCTTTTCCAACTGAAAAAAAAGAAACAGCAAACTTGGTAATTTCAATTTTCCACCCCAAATAACAAGAACTGCTAAATCCAACCAAACATGGTTGCCAGAGTCCCCACTCCCTAAGCCTAAGTCTCTAACCAGAGCCTTTACCAACCTAAGGACCTTGAAAACATAAACAGACATAAACTGTTTCTACCCAGGACATTAGGTTACAACAAGGTCAAATTATTTGGTACCTCCAAATTCAATTCCAATTGCATTTCTCACTCAAAGTCTGGGAGTGTTGGCTTGTAGAAGCACATAAAATTATAAACAGAAGGCTGGGGGAGTTAAAAAGGACCTCTGGGGCCTGGGTTGTGGCCCTGGGTTCTGTTGCCACTGGGGAAAAAAAAACAAAAATAGAGGACTTCCAAAATGACAAGCATTCCACAACAGGGTCTGTCTATGCAGTTCTTGCAGAGGCTACTTGCTGAAAGAGCTGCAGGGGCTGCTGTGCTTTCTGCAGGAGTCAGGTCTGGAAGATGGAAGGCTGCGGAATTCCCTTCAAAGCACGTGAATGTATGGTCCCTGCAGATGGAAGGTGTTCTCACAATTCTCACTCACTTCAATACTAAGCCTGGTTTCTGGCTCTGCCCCTTTCTCTATCAAATCAACTCTACAGTAGATGGAAAAGGCTGGCTTCTCTGGGAGAATGGACACTGATGGCATATGCAGACTCAGAGGAACAACAAAGTAGGCTAGGAGAAACATGTAGAGGGCAGAGGAAAGTAGAGAGGTGGCCATATCAGGACTTTCCTTCCAATGCCTGAGCCCCTGCAGGCTACAGTCTATAGCTGCTTCCTGTAGGAGGGAAGGGGGTCACCCTAGACACATGCACTGGGAAATGGCCTCATGGAGCAGAGCCAGGCAGTAAGGGGTGGCCTCTGCTGCAATTTATGTGTTTTGCTTTGAGGCAGAGCAGGGAATGAAGCAACAGTGGAGCTCTGAGATGGGGCTAGGGCCAGGGCAGAGGGTGAGGAGTGGGGACAAAAGTCTTCTCTGTCAACGGACTCTTAGTTGTTCTGTATTCTAAGGTCTAAGATGTCCAGCAAGAGATGCATTTAACTCCTTCCCTCTCTCCCATCCCTAATAGGTACAAGACACTCTCCTTGGAGTCAGATAGGCTTATATAGATAGATAGATAGATAGATAGATAGATAGATAGATAGATAGATAGATAGATAGACAGACAGACAGATAGCTTGGAATCTGTTACCCTAAAACTTAAGTGACAAGAATTGTTTCCAAGGCCTGTCTTGGTTTTTGAGCAACAGGTAGGAGGAAGACTACCAGTGAGATTTTGGGGGGCACTGGACACAATGTGGGTGCTGGTCAACCCTGGAGCTGGAACAGGCACTAATCTTGTGTGTTGATGTAGGTGGTGCTGGGCTGAGCTGGACTGAACAGGACTGAGCAGGACTGGGCTAGGCTGAACTGGGCTGAGCTGGGCTGAGCAGGCCTGGGCTAGGCTGAACTGAGCAGGTTTGAGCAGGGCTAGGTTGGGCAGGGCTGGGCTAGGTATGGCTGATCTGGGCTGATCTGAGCTGGGCAGGGCTGAGCTGAACTAAGCTAGGCTGGGCTGAGCTGGCCTGTGCAGGGTTGCTAGATATCTGCTTAGTGCTCTCATGTGGGCAGGCCTATATTTCCAGACACTTCTGATCGCTCTATGAGAAACATCACTGTCAAGATCTGGCAGAACTATGTTGCCAGGAAAATCTAAGTCAGTGGCTCTCAGGTACCAGGTGGAGAAAGGCTCAATGATGGAGGTGAAAACTTCCTGTGGGAAAAAACCCTGGGGACAGTCAGTTTCCATGATGATGAAATTTTGATGATGAAAAGTTTGAATTAAACTGTAAACCCTAACATAAGGATTAGCAAAATCATTATGGAGGAAATCCCTCCAACAATTACACAATTGTTTTGTCAGCCCTTTTGGGAATCAAGCTTGGGTATATAAATGACAGGAAAACAACTCGGGGACGCAGACAAGTGCCCTCTGCCCCTTCCCTGTGGGCCCTGAGCCTTTTGCTACTGTGTTCCGCCTAGAGGCTCCAGACTACTCCATTGTCCACATGACAGCAGGCTTGTTCCTGACTGATGGCAACTTCTTCTTTTCTTCTTCTGAAGTCCAGGGTTTATGAGATTCCAGGACAAGAGGACACAGCCTTGTTTGAAGGTTTCACACAAACCAGATCACTTCTGACCTTGGGGGCCCAACAATGGGAAGGCTTGCTGCACGTGCTGGCACAGTGGCAGTTCCCTGAAGCCTGGGTCTGAGGGTTCTGGGTAAAGCAGGGGACTCTTGCCTGTGTCTTCCATGTGGAGAATTTTCTTGGGGTTCACATTCAGACAGGAGGTCAAAACCCCTGCAAAGGAAAAAGAATGGCCACACCATAAAGGTCAAAGAGAATCTCTGGCCACATACTAAAGGAAGTATGCATGGTATTCAGAAGACCAAGGGAACTTGGTCACTGGGAAGAGGGTCTGATGTCTGCCCCGCCCCAGAGTGTGTACGGCAAGAATGTTTGCTGAATGTACCACCAAAGAAATGTCATTCCTCTTAGTCTTTGCTCTGGATTTTTCTACATAAAGGAATTACAAATCTGTGAATCTCTGAAATAAAATCAGCCTTTCTGGCTGGCACAGAAGAATGAAGACAAGGCATCAGATTGCAGCAGAGTTGAGTGAAAGCGATGGAGAGCCCTGGGCAGAGCCGGAGACAACGCTGTGTTCCCGGGAACCCTGTGTGTTTACATATTGATATTTCACACGAGCTACTCCTCAGTTATTCCCTAAAGGGCCTGAGACTAGAGGTCAGGCCTAAATTGCTTGTCTGAATGAGTCCAGATGAGCATGCAGCTCTTTAGCACTAGAGGGAACAAGGAATAAAATTAAAGCGCACAGATCTGCACTCCTCCCTTCCCCAGGGTGGCTGTCTGGGGGCTCAGAGGAATACAAGAATGCTGCTGCAACACCCGGCCAGGGTTGCGGCTTGCTCGGCCTCCCGGAGGGCCACTCTTCGAATGAGAGGATCATTTCATCACCCTTCCCCTTGTAATATATTTTTAAATGCTCTAAGCTTCCCTGAGTGGCCTCCGCCTAGAACAAACCTCAAAAGCAGTGCTCCTGGAGCTTCATCCCTACGGCTTTTCCGCTACAACTATGGCCTTTGAAACAATTATTAGTGGTGTTTGGAATTAATTTACTTGGCTTATTTTGTTTATAGCTTTTTATTTATTCATGCTTCTTTTTCTTTTAATATATATGTCTTTTGACCGTGCCTTATCTTCTGGGGAAAAGCTTCTGAAATCGGTCCTGACCAGTCCCTGTCACGTGGGGAGAAACTGTCCCATGCACTCTATGGTTTCTCAGTGCAGATTCCAAGGACAGGCTTTTCTCCTCCCTCCCTTCTAGGGTCAGGGAGGTTAGCAGAGAGAGAGAGAAAGAGAGATGAGAGAGAGAGAGAGAGAGAGAGAGAGAGAGAGAGAGAGAGAGAGGCAGGCCCTGAGCCCTCTCCTATTGTTTTCCTCTTCAGAAACAGGCCATGAGGGGCGGGGGTAGCTCAGTGGTAGAAACTTTGCTTAGCATGCATGTAGCCCTAAATCCCAGTACTGCAAAAATATAAAACTTAGGTTGCTTTAAGCAAAGCATAGCTAGACTTGGGCATTCAAAGATTAGTGTTGTTTTTAAACATGTATTTGTTTTGCTTACATATATGTATGTGTGCTACTTGGTGCCCACAGAGGCCAGAAGAGGGTGTCAGATCCCCTGGAACTGGAGTTACAGAGAGCTGTGAGCTGCCATGTGGGTGCTGGGATTTGAACCTGGGTCTTCTGGAAGAGAAGCCAGCTCTTAACTGTTGAGCCATCTCTCTAGCCCCTCAAGGATTGGGTTTTTATGGACATATCTCCATCCCCTAGTTGTTAGGAGTGGGCAGGAACATTTGATCGGTGTGAAGCGCAATAGGGGAAACAAACCTGGCTGAACCTCAGAGAGTATTCTGGTTTGAAAGGCCACCCACTCTGATCAAATCAGTTGAGATTAAGAAGCCAAAAAAGAAAAAAAAAAGCAGCAAGTCAATAAATGCTTAAAGATATTAGGTAAAGGCATCGTTAATGCATGATCAGAAGCAAACATTTTAGCTATACCCCAATCCCCCTCTACCAGGGAAGACAAGGAGGACAGAGGGTCACAGCTTGAGTCCTGCAGATGGACAGAATAGTGCCAGCTGTCTTAGTGAATAAGTCAGAGCCATCATTTCAAAGCTCTGCAAGCAAGGGGTTTATACTCCTAAAGGCAGAGAGCAAAGCCACACCAGGATCCAGTGTAACCATGACCCATGCATTCCTTCAGTTTTGAACCCTCTGCGAGCACACCTTCATCCTGCAGTGACTCCCCTATGCCCACTGAACCCTATGATGGATGGGGAGACAGCAGCTGCAGAATGCATAGATGGGCACAAAGGATAAGGCCTGACTTCATGATACAGTGACTACACTTGCAAGCTGCTGGCAGCGCTGCCCTAGTTCCGCTTCTGCTGGGGATGGAAGCTGGGGCTTATTCAAAGGGCACTTAGTTTCTGTTTTACCTCTGCCAGGGCAGGCGCAGGAGTACACGGGGCAGGGGGCTGTAAATACAAATCTGTGTACCTAAACTCCTACTGGGAAGCGACTTTACAATCCTGCTCACCCTTCTTGACTAGAGTATTTATGTTCTGTAGATGCTGTCACCTTTGGGACACTGCTGGGACCAGTCCAAAGCTTTGGTTGAGAAGAAGAGAAAGGGCAGCTGGGCTAGAGGATTGACTTACTATGGCAACTGGTTGCAGGTATGGCAGCCTGCTGGGTTACAGGGGTGTCCTGGGTGAGCTCTTTCTATTTGTGTTGGGACCACCACAGGAATGAATATGGCTACTAAATGGCAGCACCTTCTCTTCTGAGTGGCATTACCATAGTCACTACCCAAGTTCCTCCTACCTGTGAACCAGAGAACCAGTACAGCCAGGCCACACTGGAGAGTCATTATCCAGTCCTGCAGTGGTGGCTGCCACCCATCTGAGCTATCTGTGCTGGGTCAGTATTGCAGTCCCAGGACAGAGATGTCAGGCTGGAGGGTCACACCTGCCATCTCAGCTTGTTCTCTCAGTCCTAGACTGTAGATCCTGGGGTTCGCCGCCCTCTGCACTTGCTTAGCTTTTGTCTGCTTCTCTTGTCCCAGCTGCTCTATTCAGCAGCCCTCCTTGACGATCTGCCCTCCCTGCGTGGAGGCCTTTGGAGGCCTCTGCTAAGGCAAGTAGTCAAAGGCCAGCCCAGCCCGTGCTTTATCTTATCGGCTCATCTCAACATCCTGCTTCTCCAGGCTTGCTCAACAACAACAAAGGTGGGGGGGGGGGAGCGGTCCTGTACCCATGGCTCCCTGCAGCCCCCAACACAAAAGGGAGGCGACAAAGACATTTTCCACGATGGCAGGTGTTGGTGTCAGATTCCGCCCAGAGTGTACCGGCAGAAGAAAGGCAGGCAGAGCAGGGCTCCACAGGCAGCGCAGACATGTAGGGGCAGGAGAGTGGCAGGGCCCCTTGGGAGAAGACAGGAGGCAGGCAAGGCTGAGGCCCAAGGAGCTAAGTGGGCATGAAGTGTTAGTCAACCGATACCCCTCCCCAAAAGCAGGGTTTACCGTGTGCATGGGTGTGTGTGTGGGGACACCAAAGTGTTAGTCTTACCTTGCTCAAGTATAATGAGACAGCTCTGTACTTTAATCTGAAGAGAGAGAAGATAAAAATCCAGTGAATGGAAGGACAGCACCTTTGCAGCAGCTTCAGTTTGATAATGGACTCACTGCTGAGAAGACGTGTTTATCCCAGCTCCCCCTGTTCCTAAAGCCTTGTGCATCATTCCCGAACGCTCACTTGAATACCCACTTCATGGGACCAAATACCAGTCGGCGCTGTATTTACAAATGAGTCCCCAGAAGCATACAGAACTGAGGGAAGATCTCAGCTTCCCATTCCTTATGACACCTTGCGCACCATCTTACTCCCCGTGTTTTCCACAGTTACATGCACACTATTTTTGCTTCCAGAAAGCAGCTTTCTACCCCAACTGCATGTCCCCCTCACAACTCTACTGAATTCCAAACAGCTCGATGCCTAACAAATCTGGACATTTAGCAGCAACACAAATCGTTGTATACACTGCCACAACTACAAACTCAGACTTTCTGTTGATCCCATCTGCCAAGGTTGGCACGGTGACCAGAGATTTTCTAAAACCATTCAGACACTCTCTTTCCTATGTCTCTCTGAAGAAAGTGTGTGTACTTCCATGAAGTTGTATTCTCCAATCTATTGATGAAAATTCGGCCTCCTGATAGAGCACTTGGGGTGGGAAGCCAGGATCCATGACCAGCCCTGGATGACCAAATGGCACTTCCTTGTCCTACTATGAACTTGGGTCCTTCTCCACGTGTGGGCATAAGAAGCTCTATCCAGGCTGACAGTGGGTAACAGATGATAATGTAATTATCTAGATTTCTCCCAGTATGTCATTCTGCAAGGCTCCATTTCATCTAACGGAAGACCCACATACTCCTGTGTGCATGGGTCTACCTCAGGCTCCTGATGCTCTATGTGAGAAAAGGCTTTTTATGAAGGGGCTCCTTGATCTCACTCTCCTGCAGCCCCCTTGGCCCTGGGTACGCTATGCATACAGGCCCTTGATTGGTGGAAACCCGGAAAGCAGATGGCGCACTAACAATGGGGGACTTGTTTGTAATTGCTGATGAGGACCGGTTTGCTCCTCTCCTGATGGTCCCCAGACACAGCCTGGTGTGGTGTGCCGGCCCACAAAGAATATTTCAGTAACTGCCAGTCCATGGTTGAGTTAAGGAGATGCATAGCAGAGGCAGTTGGAGGCTGCCTTAATTATTCCATAGGGCTCAGACGTCACCTGCTCTTGACATCTAGGCAGTACTCTTGAAGGTTGAGGTTCCAGTTGCTGGGGCCAGGGAGCAGATTCCTCTCAGTACAACCCCAGGGGTTAGCACAGAGCATCAGCTACCCCGCACACTATTCAAAGAGCCTAGAAGAGAGGACACTGAGCTTGGAGATGAGGGATGAGAAGAGACGGGGAGGCACATGATGCCTGGCAGGGAAGAGGCACAAAGCATGCCCATCTTTCTTTTCATCCACTGGACACCAGACGTGTTCTGAGTATCATTACAGGCTGCAGCAATAGATACAGCAAACAAAACCCTCCTTGCTTTGGGGGCCGTAGTGGATGGCGGGGGGAGGTAGAGCACACAAATACACAGACACACATACATTCTGTGGTATCTGAAGTAAGGGGCCAAGTTAAGAAACAAGGGTCTTGAGAGGTTCCATGGTGACTGAGGACATTGTACTGCAGGATTACAGTGTATCTAGAATAAGAAGGCATGTTTGGACATTAGTGGTACTGGGGAATCAGCAGCCAGCTCCTTTCCATGTAGGAGCAGCTGGAGAGACTCCTGGGGAGACCCCGTCACAATCTAACTCAGACACCAAATGGCTTAAGTTTTGACCAATTGGCAACTCATACACAAAAGTTTAAGCCTAGAGAATTCAGAGGACATTTTTAAAGAAGTGTTTTACTTTTTGGATGTTGTGTGACTTCTTTGATATTGTGGATACCAACAAGGACTTTATTTTTGAATTCACGGAATAACAAACATGGCTGGAGATTTGCATTCTCTGCAGCTCTGCCTAGCGATGCAATCTGAGAATCGTGGGTCTTTATAGGTTTGTTTCCTCCAGCGGCAAAGGAGTGGAGTCTGAAGAAAGCTTCTTATCTCTGAGGAAAGCCTGCTGTCCAGCTCTGCCACCTGGGGTAAATTTGGGCCAGGGCAGACAAGAAATGTGGCTGCCTCTCCCCCACATCCTTGTTACTGAACAGTTAGTGTGGAAATGATGAACTGGTTCAAGATAATTAGGAAAAAGAACGATTTCAAGCATTGGCATGGGCGAGGAAGAAAGACTGCACTGGGGTTCCAGCTTTAGGCAAGTGCTAACTATTCTCTCAGCAGGAAGGCAGGCAGAGGGGATCAGAGAGCTGACGGGTTATTTAGACCCCTTGGAATGGCTCTGAGGAGGGGAACAGGTGCAGGCAGTGGATGGGAAAGCCTGCACATGCAACTCAACACTGGCAACCCAAGACCAGTGGGGATTTGCCAGCCTAATTAACATCTCCAAATGGCCAAGGATGGCTTCCAGTATTTCCAATCCAGCAGCAGAGGCTATGTTCTGGCTCCAGCCTTGGCACTGGGCTTGGCGTCCACTGCTTGGTTGTTGGTCTTGCCCATCAACTTTGGTTCTGAAGCAGAAAGCCAGGACAGCTGGACCAACAAGCATGGAGGGAAGAAAGCACCCGTATTGTGTACTGTTTGCAGGCACACTTGTGTAGGGCCTTAGCGCACAGTTGGGATATTAAGAAAAAATGTTGCTGGCATTTTTCCTTTGGGGCAACTATTATGTGAATTTAGGAGATATGACTAAGTTATACACTTAAAAAATTAATGGTTCAGTGCCAACTTACTGGTTAGAGAGTGTAGAGAAAGGTGTCCAGGCTTTTCAATATCTCAAAGCACATGGACAGCAAGGCTGCACTGTAGCCGTAAGGGAGGCTACTGGTCTTCTCAACCTGTCTCTACAGTGCATGGCTATTAGAGTAGTGCTGTTCTCAATAGCCCAAGTGTCCATCAACTGATGAATGAACTGTTTGACAACTTTAAAAGCCTTCAATAAGGAGGAAGAATCATTCTTTTAGGGCATAGACACTGGTAGATTTCCCATGCTTCAGTGAATGGTCCTATATCCATGTACATATGAGCATCACTAGTTGGGTTTAGTGGGATATAAAAGGAAGACATGATTTGGAAGGCAGGAGTCAGGGTGGGTATAATATTTCAATGTACACAAAAATGAAATTATCAAAGCATGAACATGCCGATAAAATATGTTTAAAAAACACAATCAATACTGTAGCATGAATAAACTTTGAAAACATGCTAGGTGAAAAAAGACAAGTATTGTCTAGTTCCATGTATACGAAATGTCCAGGGTAGGTAGACACATAGAAAGGGTGGTGGATCAGTGGCTTCTCAGGACTGGGGGTGGGGTTTGTGGAAGGAATAAAGATTGATTATGTATAGTTTTTATTTTATTTCTAGGGAAAATGAAGCATTCTCAAGTTAGACCATGGAGATAGTTGTACAATCTATGAAAATACTAAAAGCATTAAATATATACTTTTTGGATGATTGGCATGATATGCTAATAATATCTCAATATAACCTTTTTTTCTTAAAGTTTTCTTTTTCCTCTGTAGTGATGGAGAATCAAGCCAGGGCCTTGTGCATGGTGTGATGGGGTAGCTTTGTTAACCAATTATCTTCAAGAGGTGGGACCAAGTTAGGGCATGGCTTTCTGGGACCAGGTGCTCCCTCTCTGTGGTTCCCCTGCAGCACAGCTGAGCTTGGACTTCTCATTCCTATTTTGTGAGTTTTTACTTTATAATAAATAAAAATATAATTGTTTTATCTTTTAGCTAGCCTGGTTATTTCCTGAATCAAGCTAACTTCTACAGTGGTGGTCAAGTATTTACAATTGAGTTATATTCCCTCCCCATCTCAACTTTGAAAGTGGTCTGAAAAATATTCTATACTCACCATTTCAAAAGCAAAACAAGAATGACTTCAAGATTTAGGGGAAAAAAATCTCCTGTGGGCCCAGGAAGGAGGGCAGGAAGGATGGGCCATGTGGGGGTCACCAATACCTCCTTAGCTGAACCTATCTTAACTTCACACCACCGTCAAAGCAAGCACACTTCCTGAAGGTGCACAGTACTCCTAGTGACCAAGGCTGACTGGAAAATGTCCTGTAACTTGAGTTCAGCTCTCTTCAAACAACCTGAGAGTGGCCCATATAGGAAGCAAGTGTTCTGCCTCTGGACTTCCAGGGCTTGATATGTCTGTCACTCACAACTGTATTTTTGAATCCCCTGATAAGCAGCTGGCTTAAAATAAAGTAGCAGTTAGGTCTGAGGACTCTTCTGAGGGGACTGTGAGTTCTAGTGTGTTCTCAAGTATTCAAGGAAACATCAGAGCAGTGACGAGACTCCTCGGTAGTTTTATTGATAGAAATAGTCTGTTTGGGGCTGGGAATGGGATTATGGCCCTGTGATGGATCACTTATTCAAAGTATATGAGTCCTTAGACTCAACCCTCAGCACCCAAACAAACACGCCTGTTGTCTTTAGACAATCAGGAGGCACTGTGGGCCCAAGAGCAAGGCTTTCTCTACCAGAGCTCTTACCATGTACTCCACTCATGTTTGGAGCAGACAATAATGCAGTTCATGTTAGTTACATTTCTCAGTTGTCTGGGCCAAAGTAGGAGAGCATTTACCACTTACACCACAACTTGACCAGGACATAAATCCAACAAATTAGTTCTTTCTGACTTTGAGGAAAATGTTTTGCTTTTGACACAATGAAATGATTTCCCTGTTACCTGGCTGTTTACTACTGTGCATTTGTTCCGACACAACGGGCACCCAAAAGGCAGGCACCCTGAGTGGGTCTGACAAAGAGTCCCGTCTAGGACAAAAAGACCTAAGTGCTAAGCCCAGATCTTGACATGACCAGCCAGGCATGGTCCTTCACCTGCCAAGGAGATAAGCCTTCCAAACAAGGGTAGATGGTAGGGAGACTGCACAGAAATGGCT